TACAACAAATATCGAGCAATGCTTTTGAGTAACAACTCATTACATGCAACTACAAACACTTCCTACTAGCAATTCAATAATGTCTGCGAGGGTATCAATGACTCTTACAGTGAGTACAGAAGCTGGAACTGCCAAGACAGTCAAAGGTATGTAGGCAACAGCCCTGAAATCAAATAAATGTTAGTTTGACACTCCGTGCATTGAAGCCCATCATCAAATTACATGCCAACTGGTTTGCGTGAATTTAATATTTTCCATTGCATCAGGAATGAGAAAAAAATTGAAAGAACATGAACTATAATTTAAATTTTTATATCAGTAAAATAATCAATTTCTTAAATTGTTTACATAGCATTGGGATCCCATGATCATTTGATTGCTCAACGTTTATAAAATCCAATAATCATACTCCAAGAAAATAGCAATTTGTAGTCTTGCAAACTTCCTTTATCTGTTCGAAGGATACTTATATCTATCCTACACGGATAACATTTGCATAAAACCCCTATTTGATCTTAATTTCATATAGGCTTTCATCATAGACTTGGGTAAAATCATATGCCCATATTGACATTTTGAACAAATATAATATATCGCATGTTATGCTTCAGGCAGCTAGTTTGGTACGTTTGATACACATAAAGTACCTTGGTTTTCTCAACAAGGAAAGTTGAATTGATGCTGGATTTCAGTAACTATTTGTCTCAGCTAAGACAAAGCATCAGCTTTAGAAACACACTTTTGACTGGTCTCGTTTTGACCATAATATTTCCTATTACGCATTACCTTTAAGTCGCAAGTTGCAACAAAGTGATTACGTTCATTTGAAGTTTCACAATTATGAAACTGTAAGAATCCAAGAAATATGCTTAGGACGTGGAAATCAAGGAATTAAGGATTAAAATAACTTACAGGGCAAGCGGACCCCAGGGCCCAAGGTTACGATGAACCCATACTAGAAAGTCCTTCAGCATCTGCAATAAACGTAAGAATTTTAAAAAAAATGTCCATAGACAGAATGTTTCCGCAACTTTTCATGGATGAAAATCCCAAGGAAGTGCTTGTAATGAAGAATAGTAGAATTAGAATATTAGAATACACTTAAGAAACACACAGCTGTTTATACGCTTATATCAGAAAATGGGAATTTTCATCCGGAAAAATGATTTAAGTAATGAATTTATAAAATTATATATGTTAACGAAGATCATGAGATAACAGACACTGTATTTTTTTTTCTTTTAATTATCAGTATGACCAATCAACCATTTAAATGAGAGTTCTTAACTCTATTTCTTTATTGCCTTCAGTGAAATTGTCTTCCCTCCAACACTACTATTTTGACATTGGACTTGTTGTCCATACACAAAATCCGTTGGCTGAAATTCCAGTAAGCTAAGTAAATATAGCCGAAGAAAGCTTTCGAGCAAGCGTACGACAGCCATCAGAGGATCATCAAATTTCAAGGACAGATATTAAGTTCCATTTCAACTGAGGCAAGGATGAGGAAAACCATCACTAGAAAAGGAAGCCGCAGATAAAATTGAAGGATCAAGAAATTAGAGAACCGAACCAATTCAACGAAAATGCATCAATCCCATTTTAACGAAGAAACATTTCCGAATACGGATTCGAGAAAAGTAAATTGGAGTTCAACCCAAAAGTGATGTGACAAAGGTAAAATGAGAGAAAGGAACCTTTTCGATTGGGAGAGTAAAACATGCAGCAACAAAAGCGCCAAAAACAAGAAGCAAAAGAGTGATCTTGAGGGCGGATGCGCAGGTGAAAGCCATGGTGAGCCTGCGACGCCAAGGCCGGCACTTGTGGTCGTCGTCGTAGTCAGAAGGTGATTGTTTCAAAGATAAGCGAGCTCTCAATCCCCCAGGATTTGCCAGGTTTGGATGAATATGATATGACGATGAAAGCGACGCGCGTCGTCTTATGAGTGGATCAGTCGGATTCACGGAGCTTCCAAGTTCAAACTCTTCTCACCGGCTCCCTCCCTCCCTCCCTCTTTCTTCTCGCAGTGGGCCTGTGCCTGCAGTATTGATTGGACTCTAATTTGTTTTTTTTATATCCCTTTTGTTTTTCTTTTCTAGCGGGACTTGGAAGGGAGGAGGATGCTTTATTTTGGGATCGTGCATTTTTCCCGGGCATTATTTTTTAATTATTTTTTAAAAGAGTAAAAATCTTCTTAAAAATGAATTTGTACTCCTTTAAAAAATAATTTAAAAATAAAAATACTTCATTTTTAGCACAAGGTGTAAAGCGCTTTTTAAAAAAAAGTATAGGTGAAAAATGTATTTTAATCTTAATAATAATAAGAATAATATCTTTGAATAAATTGTCAAAAAATGATCTTACAAAAAAATTAATAATAATATAGTTCTTTATTTTTTTTGATAAAGATAATAATATAGTTCTTTAAATATTGTAGGTCATTATCTTTTTTTTGTCAATCAATGGTCTTCTTTTAAAATATTGCACTATTCAAATTTAATATTTTGATATTTTATAGTTTTGTATTATAAAGAAGAGAATGACTAAAAAAAATAAAATTAATATTATCTTATTACATTTGTAATATATTTTCTCAATTTTAAAACTGAAAATATACTGTATTATATGAAAATATCGATTAAGAACACATAACACCTTAATTTTAAATATCTAATAATTTGACTGTAACTTGATCAAAAAATTACAAAAAATAACTTAAAAAACTTAAGAAACTTAATCAATATTAATTTTCTTAAAATATTATTTACTTTAATAATTTTTATTAAATTTTATTTTAATAAAATTTCAAGGTGTCCAACATTAAAAAAAAGTTCAAAGATAAATTAATACTGAAGAGCACACCACATCAGCATAAAAATGGCAAAACTAGCATATCACTAATGAAAGAAGATTTTTACTTCTCTAAAAAATAATTTAGGAAAGGATGCCCCACTTATTAATAGGTGTCCAATGCTCTTCAAAGGAAAGTGTGAGAAAAAAATACATTTTAATTCTTTATTTTATAGAATACTATTTCTTGACCATGATACATGTTATCTTTTAAAAGATAACTTGTTAAAAATATAAAACATTGGGCAATTTTTATAATTTTTTATAAAATAAAGTTCAGATGATTTGCGTATAATTTAAAAGATGTACAATTTGTTAAGAAAAATCAATATTCACTTATTTTTCCTTATAATCATGGAGTAGTTACTACTTCATCCTCTCTCAATGCTTTTCTTCATATTTAATTTTATTCATTTGATTTAATGGCCATATATTTATTATTATAACTTTTTCTAAAAACAAGATCATACTATTTTTTATGGTGGTCATTAAATAAATTAATAATATATTTAGTGAAATGTCACAATTAGTAATCTTACACTATGAAATTAAATTAATTTAATGAATGAATAAGATTGGCTATTAAAAGATGTATTGAGAGAGAGTACGAAAATGATTCAAATTCTTTGACTAGCTATTTACTATATTCAATTGTTTCAAGAGAAAAAAATTGTAGAAACTTCCCTCCTCTTTTTTCCTGTTGCCATAAGTTTGCCTCTTCCATCACTATAACTTTTTTGTTGTCATTTTTACTTATTTATTTTTAATTTTAATACAAGAGTGACAATGCAATTTTAAATTCTGGCAATGTTGAGTGTGAAATCATAGAATTTAAATTTGAGAAGTGGCATAAGTTCATTTATTTAATGAGTATCTTACATAACATGATAATAGTTGTTTGATTTTAATTAAATAATTGCAAGAGATTTGGTCATATAATGCCAAGTGCCAAATCTCAAATTTTTAGAGGAAATAACATATGCTAGGAGTGCTTTGATAATTAAAATTATTTTAAATTTAAATTTTTAAAGAAAAATGTATCTAAATAAATTTTAAATATAAATAAAATTTAATATTATTATTGAAATACTTGTTAAGTGAGTGGACTAAAGCCAAGATCCAGATTCGCAGCAGCCTCTGGCCTTGTTTCGTTTCAGCAACGAAATGAAAAGGGATTTTCAGGAATAAATATCCTGGCATATAACATCTATTGCATTTTTTTCTTTTTTTGGTCAGCATATATGTTGTATTATACACACACACACATTGAGGGATTCCTTTCATAACTTATTTTTTATTCATAAAATGACTTTTTTCACTATAGTTACGTTTTCATGCTATATTTTGTGTACGAAATGATAATGTGATTTATTTTTAAGGAAAATAGAATATTAATTTATCAATTTATTTTTTTACCATAATATGTGATTAGACTTTTGATGAACCTAACCCATGTGGTATGGTCCAAATGTCCATTGCAGCCTAGCTGGCCCAAGTTGCTTGCTAAAACCTGATCTCCCCACATGACCATCCTAGGAAGTGCCAATTCAGGCACTCTTTTGGATTGATGATAACCCAAACAACCAAGATATTAAAAATCAGACAAATAATCGAACCACTTAGAACATTAATTTAAAAATTATTAATCAAAATCATAATTGTTAGTGATCAAACAGGTTATAAATAAAATATTTTATTGAATCCGTGAAAACACTTACATAACAGTTTATTAGTTCAACAAATTAAATTGATTCAGATTTTAATACTAAACAACTCATAACTTTATTAGTTCAAATCAAAAGAATTAAAAAATTATAGAAAAGTTATGATCTGTGACATTAAAGAATCAAGGTTATAGCTTAAAAAGTATTAATTATAGTGCCAGGAAATATCACTGACAAGTTAGTTTCCCTCATCTGTTATGCATTGAATGGCAGTTTATTCATTTGGCCCTAGGCGTTTCAAAAGGAGCTCATCAGCAACCCAGGACTGCAAAACAAGATATCATTGCTCATTTTATTTTTTTTTTCCTGTCCTCTTTAATAAAGACAAGATTATTTTATTTATCCTATTTTTTTTTGTAATCCTCTTCTAACCAAAAAGAACGTTCTGTTTCTGCTATCCTGCTACTTGATAAATTAATCAACAAGTAGAAAGATTTTCTAGAATTTATATATTTCTGACACATACATGGACAAGAAGTATGCTAAAACCTAACCTTATACAACAACAACAAAAAAAAAAAAAAAAAACTAACCGTGCTATGCAGGTAAAGAATACAATACAGGCCACCTGAGATAACTCTGATGGTAAGAATAAGATTCAATGTTCAACCCCTATAATGTGATTGAAAAAAATAATAATACAGTATATGCTATGAACGTGTATGGCCTATGTTGCACAGATTGCATTGAGTAGAACATGAGCTAACATGAGATCCACAAAATATTGATGCCCAATTTGGCCATCTCGCCATTTCATCTTCAAAGGAGCTCTTCCATAATGAACTCCATCATTGCAGCGATTATCAAAATGCCATGGATATGTCATGTCAAAGTTATCAATCACCCCAGAAATCACCCCAGATTGCTTCAACTTCTCCAACAATATGCCATTGAACACCTCCATCTTGCTTGGATTATAGGCCAGTGATCTTGCATACCCACCTGTAGCCACTGTGCTTCTGTAAAACACTCTTGGCCTAGCCAACCCTCTTTGTTTCACTGAGTTCATCACTTGTTCCCAGAATGATGCTGCATACTGTGCTCCTTTTGAGAATGATCTGATGCTAGTCCAGTGAACACCGTCATGCAGGCCAGAGTTGATGATCATGGTGTCTGGAATTGTGGGTTCTAAGAAGTATTTCTTGAGCAGGTCTTGAAACCCTTTGTTTATCAGAGAATTCAGGCCTTCATAGTTCTTTGTTTCATTCCAATGACCGTTAAAGATGCTTGTGATCCGAACTGTCTGAGATAGGTCTTTGGGGTTTGAGAAGTTCATGTCAAATCTTCTGGGTACAGTATGTACTTCAGGCAAATCTAAGATGAAATTTAGCATGTTACGTATCGTGTCCACATGATTTGAATCACCCCAGAAGAAGATCCACCGATTCTTCAAGCAATTCCAAGCAGAATCAGCTGAGAACAGTTTAAATGAACAGTGAGTGGAATACACCCATCCATTACTCTCCAGATTCCCCAAAGAACCATCACACCAGGGAGATTTACAAGGGAATTCTGGAGCTAAGCATCGAAATCTACCATCATCACTGATTTCACAATCATCGTTTTTTCCAAGCCTGGTCCATCTTCCAGACCACACATCCCTGGTAAAGTCAGAAGCTCTACAAGTCTGCAATTCTGGTAAATCAACACTGCTTCTGATGAACCTGACTGGGATGTTTCGGAGCATTCGATCATATACAAATTTCCATGGAGTGAATTTGAGACCTTCGAAGTGTCTGTAAAGTAGAATGATGGTGAGATTGTACAGACCTTCGAAATCTGGATGAACTTGAAGCGAAATGGAGTAAGTCCCGTTGCCGAAATCTCTCCCCACTGGCCGAGATTTCCACAGTTCTCCTGAAAGATCAGTTTCAAAGTAATCCCCACCTAAGCAACGAGGATTTCCAGACTCATCCAATGCTTGGAAAGTAAATTCATGAACTTCACCAGCTGGAAGCTCTATCTCTTTCGTGTTATCCAAACCAGGGATAGCAATTTGTGTAGTGTAAGAATCTCTGCAAGGATGTCCTCCTGGAGCTAGCCATCGAGCTAGAAGACTTGAAGTCAAGTTGGGTTCTAATTCAGAAAAAATCCAACCAGGGCTTTTCTCAACCAGGTTCTGAATTGGGTTCTTATCAATTATTTCAGACACCAAAGTGGAATTCTCGGAAGGAACTGGTTCATCGGGAACAAACAAAGTTGAATTTGTATGGTTTTGGCTCGAACTAGGTGGGATAAACAGGGAAGAAAAGGTCGAGTTTTGAACGGCTTGGGAGAGATTAGATGATGAAGGAATATCATAACGAGGAAATCTTCGAGCTTCAATGTAGTTTCTAACAATGGAGCCATCCATTCTCCAAACAGTGACCATACCAATCAAAACCAAAGCCGTCAGAAGCAAGCCCGAAGGCCAATGCCATATTGGACTGAACCAAGATGGCCGTTGATTCGTCGACGGCGTAACAACCCCCATCGGAGGAGGGTTCAAGAACCGCCGCCGCCGCCGATGGAGGACCTCAACGAACAAACAAAACCAATCCCCAACAACAGTCAACACGAAAAAATCGGTACCTTTTGACGACAACAAATTTTTAAAAAAGAAAACACAGACGGAAGAAAAAATGCCGATTTTCTCGAGAAACAAACACAATGCTGCAATGGGGACAAGCGAAGGTAACAAGAAGAAGAAGTTGATAATGAGATATTTACAAGACGGTGACGATTGTAGTTGCAGAAGCATTCGCCATGGAAATAGGGTCGATGTCAAAAGGGTAAGGTCTTTGAATGTGAAGAAGATCTGGGGAAGCAGGAGAGTCCTGCATGATTGAACTTCAAACCCATGCCCAAGAATGGAGATCAGATCTATATGTCGGTGATTCGATTACAACCTTTGCTTTTATTTGCTTTCCTCTCTTTTTTTTCTCCTTTCATAAAAAGTCTAATCTCGAGTTGTCAGCAGCTCATTAAAATTGGGATAAAATGCATAATTTAACATATGTTTGTCTTTTTTTCTCAAAAAAAACATATGTTTGTCTTTTGATTTAGATGAAAATGTACATTTAGATTTAGTCATCTATTTATTATCTTATAGATTTAAATATTTTTTATTGTTAAGACTTATAGTTTTTATTTTATCTTATAATTAAATTTAGATAATATATATGTTTTTTTATTTTGATGTTTTGCCTCAAAATAAAATACTTGAAAATGATGTGCATGTTTGAATTTTAGTTGAAAGGTTTAGGGTTTCTTGGTTGGGGTAAGTAAAATGAGAAAGCTAAACTTTTCAGGAAAGGGTGAAATTTCAAATTGGTCAATTTTATTATTTTTTTTAAATTCTATTGAAAATAAAAGCCCAACAGGACTACATACTGTCAATTTTATTATTTAGCAGTTCTCAAATCTTCCATTCACAGTATGTATGTATTTGCATGATAGCTTTCAATATCCAAACTCATGAACATGGGACTAAACTAATCTAGATTGAGATTAAGTTAGCTCATATTGGGAAAAGCCTCTACCACATCTCCCTTGGGAGATTTATCATACTGGCTACATTTTTAGGGTTTCAATTCGAGACCACTTGTTAAGTTAGGACGACCCTGTACCAAATGACCTAGACGTTTAATAGTTCACAAACTATTCGTAAAACAACAAAAAATGGACACAAGTTCAATGGGTCCTAAATACACACATGTATATTAAATTAAAAAAAATTATATACAAGTCTTGTGAAATAAATTTATTTATCAATAAGTTTTATAAAATTTAAAAATTAAAACTAGGGACCTAAGTGAAATTTATAATTACGATAAAAAGATAATAATATTCCTGTTAAATATATATAAATTATATCAATTAAATAATTTATAACTATTTCATCAATAATTTATAAATATAATTTTAACTTTTTATAATTGTAACTTTACATATCTAATAGTTACATTGATCAATTTAACTACTGGATATGTTTAAATTGATCAATTTAACTACTGAATATGTGAAGCTACAATTATAAAAAAATTAAAGTTATAATTATAAATTATTAATAAAATAATTATAAAGTGTAAACAATTAATGTTAAATTTTATCAATAACACATGATTGTTTAATTATTGAATATGTAAAATTACAGTTATAAAAAATAAAAATTATAAATATAAATTATTGATGAAATAGTTATAAATTAATTATTTGATTTATATAATGTATATTTAATATGAGTATTATTATCTTTGCAGTCTAATTTTAAATTACACTCATGTTATAAAAGATTTAGTTATAATTTTTAAATTTTACAAAACTTATTTATAAATATGTTTACTCCACATGATTTTTAGATAATTTTTTCCTGAATTTTATGTTGTTATTATGTTTTGCAAAGTACAAACAATATATTCATTTTAGTTTTTCGAAACTTTTCTAATATTTAACTTCGCACACACGGACTAGATTGCTCTCACTCAATGCAGACCTAACCTGCACGTCTCTTTCACGATTTTATGTTTTTATGATATTGTTAAAGGATTATACTTGAAAACAAATTGATGCTTTACTGGAAAAAAAAGTAAAGAATGTAATTAATTACCCAAAATTTAAGATATAGATATTATCATAAAGGTCAATTGTTTAAGGATAAGTGGATAAGTTATCTCCTAAATTTTAAAATAAATAACATCATAAACTCTAAATTTATTTATTATATAAATTATTTCTTTAACTTTTGAAGATGGTATGATATAATTCTTGTCATTAATAAAATTTAATTTTGACAATTAAGTGACTAGAAAATAATAAAAAAATATTTGAAAAATTATAAAAGATAACAAAAAAGTTACAAGAAAAACTCAAAAATTACATACAAAAACCAAAAAAATTACATAAAGGACTTAAAAAAAAATTGGTCTTTTTTAATCATCTAATACTTAAAATTAACTCTTGTTAACGATAAAGATTATATTGTATCATTTTTTAAATTAAAAAATTAATTTATATAATAAATAAGTTTAGAGTTTATGATGCTATACTTAATTTAAAATTTAAAGATAATTTTCTATACCCATTGTTTAACTTTCACTTTTTCATCAGTCTCTTCCTTTCTTTAAGAATACACACATCGGTATAGCTTTTCATTCAATGATATAGCCTTGCTGTGAACTCTAATAATAAATGTGTTAATCACTTAATACTTAAAAGATTTTTTTAATAAAAAAAGCTACAGTTGGGAATAATGGTGGAACTCTGTTGTGGTATGTGTATTCATTCTTATATGGTCGAGCCACAAAATTAAATTACTTTGAATGCTTATTTCAATGATGAGATCATACCAAAATCATCATTAGCCATTGACAACACTGCCAAACAAACGCTGCGATCCATAACACGCACAACATTTTTTTTTTATAATAAAATCTTTGACTAAAAATACCAAAATCAACCATTGGACACTTCTGTATGTATGGTAGAATTGCATCCAACTCATTACAATATAATTAAATAATACAAAGTTTATAACTTTATTACTCCTTCCACATGAGGTTATATATTAAAAAGATGAGGTATTTTTAGTTTGGGAAAAACTTATATACTTACCATGGTGCTTAATTAAGGTGCTTTTTGTTAATTAAATCAAGATATGGATCTTTTATATATTATTTATTTTTATAACAAACTCTTATTATTAATATTATCAATACATTAAAGTTCACATATATTATAATTTGATTGGATAAAATTAAGTATAGGTTTTGCTCTTCTAATTTTTCAATGTGTAATTAAGGAAATTTTTCCAAAAATATTTTTATTAAATAAATCACTTAATCATTCACTTTTAAATATGACCCCCAATTAAATAATAGCAAATATAAAAAGATGGTATCAATTTAAAGATATATAATTAACTCATTGAGCTGGGATATAATTTAATTAAAAATGTCTTATACTCTCTCCGTCACAATTTATAAAACACTTACAACTTCATTTTTTCAAAAAAAAAAATAAATTTTCAAAAATGGCCTTTATTTAATACTACATTTGTGAAATAATATTAAACTGAGAGAATATAATGAAAACAGCAAAGTAGAAGGGGCTAGTTCATCAAAACGTGGAGAACCAAAATTCAAATCCCTGCTATAAGTGATACCATATTTAGTACATAACCGTGCTTCAAATAAGATTATCTCTAATAGAAAAATATTTATGAGCAATATAAAACAAAATATAATGAGAATGATAATATTAGAAAAATATTGTTAATGAAACCTTACTTTTTTTTAAATGTCTTATATTTTGATACGTCAAATTTTTTTTAAAAATATTTTATAATTTAAGATAGAAGTAATATTTTTTTATCAAGGAGTAATAATTAAGCATATCAAAATTAAAAAAACAGAAAAAGAAGAAGAAGTATAGGTTGGTTATTGAGTTGAGGTGGTATTTATTTCAAGCGGAAACCAAACCACCAAACCCATGAAAGAGGCATTTAATTCATGGCGTGAAGATGATTCAAACCACACTAACTCACCCACCTCAGCGGTGCGCCATTTATGAGAAGCGTTTCCACACCCAACACTCACATAATCATCACTTAATTACTCATTTTTAAGGTTAAGTATTTGTTGTTGCTTTACTATTTCACTTATTATAACATGTTCAGTTTCATGATGAAGAAATTGTTATGAAATTTGCATCAGTCTCACATGAAAAGGGGAACCAATAAAATAGCAACAATAAGAAAAAGTATTATCCCCTTAGGTGAGACTAACTATAACTATACAAATAAAGTATCATTGAATCTAAAAAGTTGAACTTTAAAAAAGTTTACGAAATTCTCTCATCTAACAAATTGGTCTATCATAAATTAATTAAATAATTAATAGATGATCCACAGGTTCTATGAAAACTTTTTCCTCTTTTAAAAATATTAGTAAAACCTAATTGATTTTCAACATTTGAACCATGATATGAAATGAAAACAAAAATTCAATTTCAAAACTCAAATAAATAAAAAACCAAATAATAAAACAATCGATAAGCATATAATATGTGACTCGCCTAAGGCAATCGTAATATCTTATTATGTATAGAATCTCCTTAGATAACTACTATGTCTATTTTGTTTCCAATAAAAAGTGTGTATTCATGCTTAATAACTAATAAAAAAACAAATTTTTTTCCTCTTTGCAAAAAAGTGCAAAAAGGGGGATAAAAAATTAATAAAAAATGGGTTATGTGGTTCCACATTCTCCATATATTAATTTGGTGAGAGCTAGTTCATCAAAATTCTAGAAAGAATAAAAAATTTGGTTGGAAGATGAAGAATTCAAAGAATGGTTTGGAAATAGAAAGTGAGATAAAAATAAAAGTTGTAGGGAATCACAAAAACTATGTGGATAGAAACGAAAAATAAAAAAATCAAAGTCTTTCTGATAGTTTGATAAATCTTATTACTGTTTAATAAATTTTCTTCTTTTCAACTTGGAATTCATAGTTATTTCGATTAGATAAATCTTAATGATAGAATAATTAAGTTATAATTTGATTGTTGATTGTATCATCAACTGTTTCTTCTTTATTTTTTTTTAGGTGTGAGGAACTTATCATAAATCCATTGATTTTTTTATTATAGTTAAAGTATTGATATTGTCTGAAAAAAAGATTTTTTTTTTCATTTACTCTTCTTAAATGCATTATCTTTAAAAATGTTTCCTCTTTTATGTATAATATTGTACTCTATTCATAGAAAATTATAGTAGCATAAAATTAAAAGAAAACAATTAATAATTCATATTTTTATATAAAGTGACTTATAAAAATGATAACAATTTTTTAAGTTAAAAGATAAATTTGTCCTTCAATTATAGGTCTAAGAATGTTTGAGATTC